TTTTTTTTTTTTTTTCCCTTAAGAATTGCCTGTAAATCACTTCTTCCCCCACCTTCTCAGCACGTTTTTCCTTGCAGACCTATGCTCTGTGGTCTGGTGTGACCACAAACCAGACATGTAGGAGTTGAAGCTGTTCCTGCCCAGCATATTATGAACAGAACAACACTGTTTGTTGCACTGTAACATGAATTTGGTTTCTCAACCCAGTCCTGTCTGCCAACTCTCTCTTCCCTAGGCTTGCATGGAGGTGCAGGCTATTAACGTGGAGAAAAAGCGGTTGATGAAGCACTGGAAGAGCAGCCTGGCTGGGATGAAGCAGAGAGATGAGGCCTATGTTGCCATGCAAGACTTGCTGAGGTGTGGTGGCTGAAAATGGTCCCAGCAGAGACCTCAAATGGTTTGGACAGGAGGGATTCTGAAAGGGGCAGAATGTCTTCTGTCGAGTTTCTTTCTGTATGTGTGGGATACGTCAGGCAGAACAAGTTTGCTCCTCTAAGCCACATAATAAGGTTAAAGAATAACAGTTCTTTGTTACTATTTTCCTTATCCAAAATACACTCTCCCTCGAAATGTGTGGGGTTTTAAAAGCTGTTTAGAGCTTTTCTATTCGTATTTTATTTTAAAAAGTTCCTTCATCTTTGCAACATCTCTCAGTCTAAAGAGCTAGACAGCAAGAAGGATTTATCTATCACTTTTGGTTAGGATTTTGTGATGCCTTTAAAAATCTTCAGGAGAACCTTCCTGTTGTTGCCAGAAGAAATGTTTATTCGGTCTGGAGTCTTAAAGTTTGCCTGATTCTCTGAGAACAACCGATGTGCTTTTATAGGGTGGCATTCCCATAAAAATGGGAGGTTGGGTACAGGACTTAAAGAAGGAATTAATTTTCCTACATAGGTTTCCTTTTAAATCTTAACGTCTCCATCCATCTTGTGGTGACTCGGTGCTGTCACAGCAGACTCGCCTTCATAAAGATCCTCCTTCTTGGTCAGTTGTTGCTGCAATAGCATGTTTGAAAAGAGGAATTTGTAGGTGGCTCTTCAGCATCCTGTGATGATTTTCCTTCCTCTTTGTCGCTCCAGCAAGTACAGACATGACCTCAAGTCCCTGGAAATGGAAATCCATGGCTGTACAAAGTCGATCAGGAAGGAGGAGGAGAAGAATGAGTTGCTCGTCACCATCCTGAGCCGCTTGGAGGGCAAAGCCAACACGACAAAGAAACTGATTGCCCAGTGCCTTTCGAAGCAGGAGGCCTTGAAGGTTGAGTCTGGCACCTACACCCGCATTCTCCAGGAGACAGAGCAGGCCCTCAACAGGACCAAGATGGTGAGAAGAGTTACTTAGAAGGAGAAACCTTTTTGAATTGGACACTGGTATTTAAGCCCCTTCCCCAAAAAGTTGTAGTGACCCTGTCTCTGTCTTCCCTACCATTTAGGATCAAGGTGCTTGTCTGAGCAAGTTGCACTCCATCTGTAAGGATATAGAGAAAGGAACCAAAGCCAAGGAGCAGATGGAGAATGAAATCATGGCAAAGGTTCAGGACCAGATGATGTCCAGCAAAGCCACAAAGCGCTTCTCACAGCTGGCAGCAAAACTTCATAAGAGAAAAACAGATCTGGTAAGGTATCTCTTCTGTTTAGGAGAGCAGGGGAACGAAACGGCTTAGAGCGTCATTTCTCAAGTGTGTTTTGCCAGGGTCTTAATTTTGCTTTTCAGGTCGGTAATTAAAGCTCTGCTTCAATTAGTTCTTCCAGGATTCTGGTGTATGCAAGAATGTGGCCAAAAAAGCCCTGACACATAAGAAATTACTTACTGTGAGGGTGGTGAGACACTGGAACAGGTTGCCCAGAGAAGCTGTGGCTGCCCCATCCCTGGAGGGGTTCAAGGCCAGGCTGGAGGGGGCTTGGAGCAACCTGGTCTGGTGGGAGGTGTCCCTGCCCAGGGCAGGGGGTGGGAACTCAATGATCTTCAAGGTCCCTTCCAACTCGAACCATTCTTTGATTCTATAGCGTACTATTGTTTATCTACTAAAAAAATGGTCCTTCCAACTCAAACCATTCTTTGATTCTATAGCATACTATTGTTTATCTACTAAAAAAATGGGGCACAATGATGAATCTTGTGATTGTTTACTATAAAGTGGTTCAAGTTCTTACATGTTGCAGGAAGACAGTGGATGTGTGGTACTTCTGTACTCCACGTTAACTTATGTCTCTGTACTGCATCACAGAATGTGATTCAGGCATGCTCTCAGTTTCTAAGTAAAGATTACAGCCCAAGGAACAGTCAGACCAGACCCACGGCTCTTCATGGCATGATAAGTTGCTCTCTTTGGGAGTGTATAACCGGTAAAGATAGAAAAAACTAGAAGATTCAGCATAGTATTTATTACACTGAGTCGTGTGGGCTGGCACTAACACAACACACTCATACCTCTGTATTTCCATGGGTTATTTCAGCTTGCCCCAGTGTTTTTCTGTTGTTTTTTTTTTGTTTTGTTTTGTTTTTTTTTTTTTAATCAAGGGCATGTCTTAAGTAATGGGAGGCTTCCAAGAGCAAACTGTCACCTCTCATGGTGTGGCCCAGGCTGTGCAGAAGTAGCAGATGGGCTTCTGGGAGGTACCTGGCTGCCCTCAAACAGCAGGCACAGCCATGCTGGCTGGCTGGGACGGTGGTTGTCAGGGGAGGGATGTGTCTGTCAGGTGTGGTGGAGAAGGTACAATATAGTCGTGTCCTACTACTGTTGGTCAGGTAACTAGAGACGTGCAGGCAGGGAAGGTGATTGCAAAAGTGACAAGTGTGGTGTCTTAAAGGGTTTGGGGATGTTTAGGCTCCTTCACGCTTTTCAGCAGCCTTCCAGCAGAGGTAAATATTGCTGTCTCCTGTCAATAGATGGAGAAACAAAGGTACAGAGAGGGTCAGTAGCTTATGGCTTGTGGCACAGACCTGGGGGTAGAATCTAAACCCCCTGATTCCTGTGCTTTGATAAGCGGGCATTACAAATCAAGGAGTTGCTGGTGGTGACAGTAATTTGTTTTGTGTCTGTTTATATTCCCAGGAGCTGCAATGTTCCAAGGTTGAGAATGATATCGCCCAGGTTATTCAGAACACAACTCATACCAACTGCAGGCTGACAGTTCTCCAAAAAACACTTGGTGAGGTGGACAAGGAAACTAATAATGTCCATGATCTGATCAGACGCAGAGAAAGTGAGATTGCAAAGCGCAATCTCCTGATTGCGAAAAAGCAAGAGGTCATGAGCCAGTACAACAAGAAGCTGGAGAAGATTCTTTCGCAGCTGGGGGTATGTACCTTTTATGTTTCAATCCCAAACTTGATTTTATTCCTTGTGCTGACCACAGATGCCTGTGAGAAATGTCACTGCGTAAGTGCTGAATAGTTAAAATTTTGATTTAAAAGCTGTGCTAGTTAATGTAAATGTTTACATTTATTAAATAGTTCTTACTGCATGTGAAGAGGTGCTGGCATTAGGGAATGGTTGTGCAATGAGGGTGCGCCGAGCACAGATTTCTGCAGGGAGTTGTCTACACCTGATGAAAATGTTGAATGACATCAATACTCTGGGAGTAAATAGGATCTCCTAAAATCTGCAAAGTCTGACAAGGGGAAAATGGAATAGGGAGGGTGACTTAAGTCAGGGAAAATGGAATAGGGAGGGTGACTTAAGTCACTTGATGGTTGGCCCTGTTCAGGTGATACCAGCCCCGTCCCTGACACTGTGAGCTGTGAGACCTCTGTGGGTACTGATGTGAAACGAGTGCTGGGCCATTTGCTCAGCAAGCTTTTGAGTGTCCAGACCTACCTGTTGTAAGAGCTTTGGAGCCCTCTCACCACAGAGTCTGAGAACCTTTTGGGCTTCTCTTGCATTTATTCCTGTGAGGTCAGGAATGACTAGTCCCATCCAGCTCAAGGGAAATGGAGGCAGAAAGCAACTAACTGACAAAATAACAATATAGCTGAAATATTCAGTAGGCATCTCAGCAGTTGGAGCCACCTTCTGCAATGATGCTGTAAATGAGTGCTCCAGCAGCCTCTGCCTGATTTATCCCAAACCTTCCCTTTGTACAGGGGCAAGAATTGGGACCATTGGAAATTGAGATCAACAAGCTGACCAAGCAGATAGAAGAATGTAATTCTGAGGTGATGACATTACAGAAGTACTGGCTCAATCAGCAGAAAGAGCTGGTCAAGTTAACGCAGGAACGGGAGGAACAGCTGGCCAATTTGGATATGTTAAAGAAACAGATCACAGCAATGCAGCAGAAGAAAGTGCGCACTGAAAGTAAGTCATTCCTGATCTCTCCCTTAAAATGCTCATCCCTGCATGGAGAAAAAAGGGAGCAAAGGCTTAGAGATGGGTGAAGCTAGACCTTCACCAGGTAATCCTTCTAGATATGTATGAGCAATAATGCACATGGCCCCAGCACTATACTCAAGGGCTAAAAGCCAGGCACCTTCTGCTGTTTTGCATATTGTTATTTCCTGTAATGATGATCCATCCTGCTGTCCTGACAGCCAAACCCTCAGTGACCATGCCATGAGTTACACTCCTTAAAGTTTGGAAGTAGTTGGTAGGCAAATGTCCCCACCAATGATCGCACTTCCCTTGGCCAAACCCAGTTCTTTGCCACAGTAATCTCCTTCAAAACCTTATTTGATTTTTTTTGGGCTTGTGGAAAAATGTTTTGGCTGGATGTGTGGGACATGGGTGGCTCCACGTGCAGCCTTGGCTGGGCTAACAGTGGTTTGTCACACCTGGCCTGTCTTCAGCCCAGTGCTCCTGGGGATTTGAAGATGTTCTTCTGTTCACCCGTAGATGAAATTCAGCAGGAAACAAAAGAACGGAAAGACATCGAACGTCACATTAGGAACATGTCAAACGACATTAACAAGTTGAATGTGTTGATCAACAAGAAAAACAGCAGCTTCGAGGAGCTGCAACACAGCAACATTATCACAGAGAACGAGTTTGTGCGCTCTCTCAAGGTACAGAGGCCCAACATCTCGTTCCCAGACCTCAGCCTCCCTTGCAGATAGGAGGCAAATAGTCATCCTGTGAAACTTTTTCTCAGCCTGACAATGTTGTGTTGTTTTTGTGCTTCCCAAACCCAGGCAGCAGAAAAAGAATCAGTTGAGATGCAGGAGAGGCTCAGTCAGTTGACTGAGGAGAAGGAGAGACTCCTAAAAAGCCTGGTGGAAGCAGAGTAGGTACCAGAGAGATTCTTGCTTTCTGCCACAGTCTTTAATCTTTTGTGTGTCCACGTGTCCTTTCTTCTCCAGTCACCGAACTGAACAAGCACCTGAAAATGTGCTTCTGTCCTTGGAGAAGATGAAAGTGGGTTTAATGAATTTTTGAAACGTAGAAACTTAAAGGTGCTTTAGCCTTTTCTGGAATCAGCAAGAGCTGAGAGGCTGTTGGTTTCAACAATTCCAGCTTGTGCTGGATGGTGCCAGGATCTGTATGGTACGACTCCACGCTGTCTCCTCTCTCTCTGTAACTCGGAGCGAGTGTGCTTCACCAGGCAATTAATTAATCATCCCCCCTCTCAGTTTGGCCGTGCTTGTTTTTACAGTCATCGTGCCACTTTCTAAATTGTGGGGCTGAACTGTTCAGCGTGGCTCTCGGGACTGGGCTGCCACTGATGCACAGAGAAAGTGTCCTCTCTGTTTACAAAAGTGCTGCTGTCCCTTTCTGTCACTGAAGGCACGTGATCGCGCTGTGGGAGAGGAAGATCCAGCTGGCGAAGGAGATGCGGGCAGCGTCTTTGTCGATACAAAGTGAAAACCAGGCCAAGAAAAAAGAGATTCATAGGAAGCGGGTGAGTCGCTGGGGCAGAGGGCTGAGGAGGGGAAGGCACACACAATGTGTTCAGCTCTGGAGATGCTGAAATGTAAGGCAGGTAGATGGGAAAGAGGCTGGAGAAGCAGCACCGCCAAGGCCGGAGCGGTGTTGGAAATCTTACCACCCTGCAGCTGGACAGGATGAAACACATCCAGCATCCGTGCCCTTTGTGTTCCTTGTGTGTGCTGTGTAATAGGCTGCAGCAGAGTTTAGATAGGCCTGAGAAATCTATTTAAACTGGGATTTGTCTGCCACCTGCTTCTGTGACCCCAATTTATAGCCAAAGAAATGTTGATTACTAAATATTGCATCACTTTAATCACTGGTTAGGGAAGTCACTGGTCAGGGAAGCAACTCTTCCCTTTCATTCCCTGGATACTTTTGCTCTCCTGCTTTGCTAATGAGTTCCGGTGATACATTCTGAAGATGACTTTAGGTGAGTTGATAATCCAGCCTGCTGCCTTCCAGATCCACACAGGGCAAACTAGGTTTGGATTTAGAGCAAATTTAGCTTCCCAAGGCTGTCCTGTTGATGGGATGTGCTACACAGAAGACGTCAGTTAGGTGCCATTCGTAACCATTCATTATTTTCAGCTTATTTTATATCTTCACAAATGGCAGCTCCACTATGACCAGCTGATGAAGCAGCAGCAGAAGCTGATTCGCGATATGGAGGCATTTGTTTGTCAGAGAGAGATGATAGCTCTTCGTGGAGAGCGTCAGAAAGCAGTTAAGAAACGTGACACCAAGAGAGAGTTCCACCGCAAGAAAGAGGAGCTGAGAAAGAAGATCAGCGAAACCCAGAAGGTGAGGGAGTGAAGCAGGGCTGGGAGAGTTCTCGTAGCCTGTATTTGCCTCATAACAAGCACCAGGGCGTGCTCAGAGTAGACGTGGGAAGGGCCAGACCCTGCCCAGGTACAGCCCTGCACAGGGGAAGGCTTTGGAAATGAACAAGCAAAGGGAAAAAAATAAAGTAAAATAATTCTGGGAATATGGCTGGGGATGCAGCTGAACTAAAGAACCCAAATCTGCCATTTCCTTCTCTTCCATGTACCAGAACGTCCAAGACTGCACCAAAACCATCCTGGAGCTGGAGAGCACCCAAGCATCCCTTAGTGCCTCCCTCTCGGAGAAGCAGCAGGAGCTGTGCAGGCTCCAAGCTGAGGGCCACAGCCTCCACTTGGATGCAGAATCCCTTCGGAACAAGAAACGATGGGTGAGCACAACCTACCATCCACGTCCTGCAGCAGGGGAACCAAAACAACCTCTGCTTGCTTCTGGGGCCAGCTCCATGTCTCTTTTCCACCCCCATCCTGAAATGGACAGGTTTCACGTGTGATTTTAGCAAGACTTTAAGCGAACTGAGAAGGCTTTGAGGGCTCATAGTGGTGCTGAGCTGATGCTGCAGTTGCACTCTTGGTGAGGCAGCATTCACCTGGAAGGAGCAGCCAGGAGGACCTCGTTTGTATCTTGAAAATATCTAGCAATGACTCTCCTTTGTGAGCCTGTTACAAATTTGGGAGCCAGCTCAAGGTCTTAAATGGCCTCCTGAGAATTTTTTAACATGGTGAAACTCTGTCCTGGTGAGGGGTGTTTCTCCAATGTATGGAATTCTGTGAGGTGGCTGTACTCAGGCATAGCGATGCTGTTTGGTTGTTATAATGGGAACTTCATCCCCTTAGCAGCTTCCTTCTTAAGAAGCCCTTCCACTTCAAAATATGGTCGTTCCCGTAACTCTGTGCCACAAATCCCATCGTTTTCTGAGTTCTTTTCCCTGCACAGTCAGCTGTCAAAGCACTTGAGTTGCTGGTTTTGTTTTTCTCAGAACCTGCTGGAGATCGTGGCCTACCAGACACGCCTGAAGCACCTGCAGGCACTGAAGGAAGGGAAGTACACTCCGCGCTACCGCACCGAGCAGGCCCGAGGCAACGCGAGGCAGAAGCTGCTGCACCGGCTCCGCACCATCCACACCATCATCCACCACATCCAGCAGGAGTATCCTCAGCACCAACGGCCTCTCCAGTGGCTCAAGCAGTGCCTGGAATCCAGGCTGGGCTCACAGGAAGGCTGAGGAGACATGGACACGGGACACAGACATTCTTCTGTTCTTCTCTTGGAAGCTGTAGGCTTTGTAAGTGAATAAGTATCAAAATAAACATGTGTGTTAAAGATCATAGACTCACAGAATGGTTTGGGTTGGAAGGGATGGTAAAGACCATCCTGTCCCATCCCACCCCCTGCCCTGGGCAGGGACACCTCCCACCAGCCCAGGTTGCTCCAAGCCCCCTCCAACCTGGCCTTGAACCCCTCCAGGGATGGGGCAGCCACAGCTGCTTTTCTGGGCAACCTGGGCCAGGCTCTCACAACCCTCACAGAAGATTTTCATCCCCAGATCTCACCTAATCTCCCCTCTTTCAGGTTAAAACCATTATCCCTTGTCCTATGGCTCCCCTCCCTGATCCAGAGTCCCTCCCCATCTCTCCTGGAGCCCCTTGAGGGACTGGAAGGGGCTCTAAGGCTCCGGGGAGACCTTCTCCTCTCCCGGGAGATGCCACCTGCCCGGAGGGGTTGGAGCTCCCCTTGACTTCCAGCCTTCCCCACCGCCTTCCTCCGGTTCCCGGGAGGGATGCGGTGGATCCCGGGGCCGGTCCCGCCCCGTGACGTCAGCGTGACGCAAATGGCCCCGCCCCTCCCCGGGAGAGGTGGGTCCCGTCCGGCGGGGCCATGGCGGGGCCGGTGCTCGCCGCCGCGCTGCTGGCTCTGCTGCTCCCCGCCGGGGCGAGCAACCCCGGGGCCGCCGGTTGCGACGTGGCCCCGAGCGACCGCTTCGACTGCGGCCCCGAGCGGCTGCTGTCGCGGGAGGGCTGCGAGGAGCGGGGCTGCTGCTACGCCCCCGCCGGCCCCGGCCCC